TAAGTAAAGGAAAAATAGGCTCCCCGGCCGCCTGGTGGGGAATCATCACTTCTCAACCTATCCAAGTTCATGCTCTCAATATTGTTTTTCTCAAATGTGAACCAGTTAAGATTGACTATCACACATTATCTTTGTATGTTAAAACGTTAATAAAAAGTATTTGAATATAAAAACGCATGTAGATGATGATATCATCTAGGTGTGAGCATCTGGACCCAGGTATTCTCACTAGTGGCAGCATCTATCCCAGCATTTCAACAGGGTTTCCGAATAGCAGAGTTCTGATTGTAGACCACCATAGGGAGCCAGCAACCAGGATCACCTCAACCAGGTATCACAAAAGGTATGATGTGTTCACCGACCACCAGAGGGAGATAGAGCTTTGGAGAATATCCCACGATTTTCTGAGGGAAAATTGGCTCAGGAAAAAAAGAGCCAAAAAACAGAAATATCTAAGTGCAGCATTGCTTTATTCAAGTGCAAAGAAATAGTTAAAATAGTTATAGTAAAAACTCACATGATAGTTAAAAACTCACATGATATGTAAGGGCCTATTGGCCAGACAAAAGGGATTCACGTGGATAGAAAGTCACTGAGGGCAGCTTTCTGACATGTTTCGTGCCATGCACATTCTCAAAGAAAGCTAGGCCCCCTCAGTGACTGCTCAAGTATATATAAGGGAACACATGTAATTGATTCATAATTGGCGGCTCCTGCCGTTCGCATTCGCGCATGCGCAGATCGCATTTGCACGTTTGCGCATGCGCAGTTCGCGCCGACGGCGGCCATTTTATTGAAGCTTGATGTTTACCATAGCATTTCACTAAGGACATAGGGAGTGATCTGAAGGAGTGTGTAATTAGCCACTCTACTTCTGCTTCTCTCCCATACTGACGATGTTATGTCAGACAACCATTAAGCCTTACTAAATGCCTGTTTTTTGGGGACAAAAAAAGGCTATATAAATCTAGAGGATGAGTGATTGAAGGAATATGGGTTTATAACAGGGATCTTGTTATAAATGATCTCCTGTTTGTGCAATATGAGGATCTATTTCTTAGCAATCCCATGGAACTACACGTGCCAGAACTTCCTTCAAAGACATGTGTATACCCTTATATACAATCAATATTAAACACCACAATGATATAAAACGTATTAAAAGACATGAGAAATACACAGTAATATAAAGTTTAAAATGTCAACCAAAGATTAAAATTTATAAATGATATATATGATATGTTAATTAAAAAGCGGTCATAAAATAGAAAATTAAAAATAAGGCCACAGTAATAAATCCATAAAAAGAAAAAAAAATGCTCCAATCTGGAAAATCCCGATGACATAGTATAAATAAAAAAGATAAAAGATAATGCAATATTAAGCACCAAAGAGGACCTGTCATAACTGAGCACTAGCTGTGTCTGTATTTCATTACTAATCAGTAGTGGATATATGATATGATGATTGGCCTCCAGTGTTCGCCCCTAGGGTTCAAATGGAGCATCTCACTCTTTTATTGTTGTGCGAAATATATTATCAAAAACGGCAATAAATATCATGTTGTAATAAAATGTTCATAAAAATTGTATGTCGTGACTCTATATTAGATCCTGTGTGATACCTTTTTTCTCAGCTAGTATCTATAAAACAGTTGATATCCCATTCTATGTTTAGGCCAGATGGTGCTGAGGTTCGCAGAAGATATATCCATTTCGTTTCTAACCTAGATACTGCTCGTTTTTTAAAAATGCCTCTCCAGTGGCTGTTGACAATGTCAGTTCCCATAAATTTGAGATTGTGTGGATTTTTGTTGTGTACAGTGTGGAAGTGCATGGAGACAGAGTGGTCTTTGTATCCTTTTTTAATATTGGTTAGGTGTTCCCTAAGTCTGTCTCGTAAACGTCTGGTAGTTCTGCCAATGTATTGTTTTCCGCAACTGCATTCAAGTAAGTACACTACATGAGCGCTATAGCATGTTATTACATTTTGAACCTCATACGTTTTCCCAGTAACACTTGATCTGAAACTTTTGGTTGGTTTTTTGTGAATGCCATTATGTGTACATAGCATACAACGGTTACATGGATAAAAGCCCTTTCGGTTCAGAATAAAATTAAACGAAAGATGTCTGGGTGAATTCACAATGTTTGGTGCTAACATATTTCTTAACTGGGGGGCTTTGCGGAACGTAATTTCCGGATGTTCAGGTAAAACCTCTCCAAGTATAGGGTCATTTTTGAGTATAGACCAGTGTTTCTTAATGATTCTAGAGACCTTCTTATATTGGACGCAAAACTGGGTGATGAAAGGACAAAATCTATTATTGTACTGTTTGTCTTTGGGAATGAAGAGATTCCCTCTGTCTATATTTCCCACTTCTTCAATTTCTTTATCTAGGATACCACTGTCATATCCTTTTTCCACAAAGCGTGATTTGAGTATGTTTGCCTGAACATTGTAGTCCTCCAATTTATTAAAATTTCTGCGTATCCTGCTATGGTAAACATCAAGCTTCAATAAAATGTCCGCCGTCGGCGCGAACCGCGCATGCGCGGACGTGCAAATGCGATCTGCGCATGCGCGAACGGCAGGAACCGCCAATTATTAATTAATTACATGTGTTCCCTTATATATACTTGAGCAGTCATTGAGGGGGCCTAGCTTTCTTTGAGAACGTGCATGGCACGAAACATGTCAGAAAGCTGCCCTCAGTGACTTTCTATCCACGTGGATCCCTTTTGTCTGGCCAATAGGCCCTTACATATCATGTGAGTTATATTTTAACTATTTCTTTGCACTTGAATAAAGCAATGCTGCACTTAGATATTTCTGTTTTTTGGCTCTTTTTTTCCTGAGCCAATTTTCCCTCAGAAAATCATGGGATATTCTCCAAAGCTCTATCTCCCTCTGGTGGTCGGTGAACACATCATACCTTTTGGGATACCTGGTTGAGGTGATCCTGGTTGCTGGCTCCCTATGGTGGTCTACAATCAGAACTCTGCTATTCGGAAACCCTGTTGAAATGCTGGGATAGATGCTGCCACTAGCGAGAATACCTGGGTCCAGATGCTCACACCTAGATGATATCATCATCTACATGCGTTTTTAAAAGCGCTATCTGGTTAGTGCAACCTACTCTCATTTTCCACACCATTGATGTCACGAATAATGGTCACTCACCATATATAGACTGTCACCCATCTTCACGTTTCTATGTTTGAAAATGAATTCATGAACTTATCCATGCATGGTGACCCATGGTTGTGTGCGTTATACACTATCTTGCACATGTATATGCCTAATGTCATTTTCAGAGTAATATATACATGCCTTCATTTGTATTTGCTTTGTATTATTTGTAGGAGCGCTGCAGGTTCATTTTATACATAATGCTGTTATTACAGTTAATATAACTGTTAGAATTTTGTTTTTGCCTATGGAATGTACTCTTACTGGAGTACAGAAAATTATTAACCCGGCTCAATAAAACAAACCCACCATCAAGAGGTGAGTGCTACAGGTAGAGAAAGCTTTCTTCGTACTGCCAGTAGGCAATCTAAGGATGGCTACAGAAATACAGGCATAACTTACAACAGTTAATAGAAATGGTACAGCAATTACAGAGACAGATAGAGCAAATATATAGATTTGCAGACTGAAAGTATCAGAACAAGCGATATCCACAAAAGGAGTAGTGTCACAGAAGTAATGGTCAATGACATTGCAACCTCAGAACTAGAGAAAAACCACAAAAATCATTGTGGTGAATGGCAAAAGAAAACCAAACATCCAGCAAAAGATAATCAGAAAATATTGTAGGTTGTGACCTATTATTGTGTCCTGGTGTTAAGGTTTGCATATGGCCAAGTATTGTTCATAGGACATGTGAACAAATAACATTCAGAAGCACCTGAAGATACATAAAAGTAGTAGTTCTGAGCGATGCATCCAGTGACAGATACATTGGCTTCATCCATCCATATTATACGTAACATACTGGGGACAATAATGATCTCTAAACAGATTTCAGAAAATAAGACATTTTTGAGAAGCAAGTACACGGGGGAATGTAGAATTTTTCTGGTTGACGCTAATATTATAATCATAGCATCAAGGAGCGCTGTCATGGTACATGCAGGCAATATGAGAATGAAGAGAAGAAGAGGAAGAGGCCTACCAAGAAGAGGCCTACCAAGTCCAGGGAACCCCAGAAAAAAGAATGAATTTATTGTTGTCAAATGTTTTTTCTTCATATTGACTTTTGTGGCTGGGTAGACAGAGAAAATATAAATATCTACACAACGTGTTCTCTATTTTCACAAAGGTGGAAATGTAATACTCGATTAGTCAAATATTGTGATAATCCTAATCATATATTTCAAAGAGTTTATTTCTGCCACTGTATATAACTGCTTATGGCAGCATGCATATCCTGATTCCTCAGGCAGTATATGATGGGATTGAGCAATGGTGTTATCACAGTAAATGTAACTGATATCATTTTGTTAATGGTTATGGGATGTCCTTTTACTGGAATAAAGTAGTTTATAAATCCAGCTCCATAATACATCCCCACCACCAAGAGATGAGTGCTACAAGTAGAAAAAGCTTTCTTCCTGCTGCCGATAGACGGCATTCTAAGAATGACTACAGAAATACACGCATAACTTACAACAGTTAACAGAAATGGTGCAGCAATTACGGGGATAGATAAAACAAAAATATAAAAATTTGAAGACTGGAAGTATCGGAACAAGCAATATCAAGAAAAGGAGCAAGATCACAGAAGTAATGGTCAATGACATTCCGCCCACAAAATTTGAATAAACCCCCAAAGATCATTGTGGTAAATGGCAAAAGAAAACCAACCATCCAGCAAAAGATAACTAGAAAATATTGAGAGGTGTGGCTCATTATTGTGTTGTAGTGTAAAGGGTTACATATGGCCAAGTATCGGTCATAGGACATTACTGTGAGCAGATACAATTCAGAAGTACCTGAAGATACGAAAAAGTAGTTCTGAGTGATGCATCCAATGATGGATATAGTGGCTCCATCCAACCATATGATACGTAACATATTAGGGATGACGACAGTCACTAAACACATTTCAGAAAATAAAAAGTTTGAGAGGAACAAGTACATGGGCAAATGTAGACTTTTTCTGGTTGACACTAATATTATAATTATAATATCAAGAAGCACTGTCATGGTATATGCAGACAATATGAGAAGAAAGAGCAGAAATCTGAGCCTACCAAGTCCAGGGAACCCCAGAAAAAAGAATTCATTTGTTTGTGTCCCATTTTCTTTATTCATATTCTTTTTTGTGACTGTAAAGACAGAAACAATTTAAAGATCTACACTACTTGTTCTCTGTTTTCACTAAATGTTGATGTTAAAGTTCTGAATATAATGCATGATATAGGAAGGGCTGAATGTATACTTCATGCACTAGGTGACCTGTCTTGTGCTAACCTCCCTCCTATCCACAATGGCTGTTACCAGGGGCGGACTGACCATTTGGAAACTCGGGCATTGCCCAAGGGTCCGGGGTCAGTAGGGGGGCCCATGAGATGCCCCTGGTACCTTTTTCATAGGTTTTTTTGAGTTTGGGCAATGACACAGGGGCCCCATGATCCCCTATTGCCCGGGGGCCCCATGAGTTGTCAGTCCGCCCCTGGCTGTTACCCTTAACATCACTTTGACAAGGATAAATGTCATGGCCACAAAAGGCCCACCACAGCTGGAATTAGATGACGGACCCAGAATTGGTGATCCCTTTGTGTGATATCCCACTGAAAAAGCATATACACATTATACAAAGTAGGAAATTGAGGATCTAGCCAAACTAAACTGATAGGCAGGGAGGTGGTCTGGTAATTTTTATTATACATGGGAATGTGTTGCTGGCAGTCAACATCATTATATGTAGAAGGGTGTGAGTCACCATTATCAGCCCTCTTACCAACAAACATCTAGCCTGAGTGGACCAAATATTTTTAATACTCGCCATTTTTCTGACCCCTCCTGACACCTGACATAAAATGTAACTTTCTTAGCAATAATATCATCTCATCTATTGCATTTTAAGAAGCTGTGACTTCAGCACACCATATTCTGATGGATTGATATGGGTTCCTGAAAATCAGAATGAATAAATAACCCTCGCAGGCACAGGGAGAACAAGCAAACTCCAGGCAGGAGGTGCTGTGGCTGGGATTCGAACCAATGACCCTAGTACTGCCAGGCGGATGTGCTAAAGATTTAGCCACTGTGCTGCCCACACTCTGATGCTCTAATAATGCAATAAGTATACAGTGGGGATCGAACGTTTGGGCACCCCAGCTAAAAATTTGTATTAATGTGCATAAAGAAGCCAAGGAAAGATGGAAAAATCTCCAAAAGGCATCAAATTACAGATTAGACATTCTTATAATATGTCAATAAAAGTTAGATTTTATTTCCATCATTTACACTTTCATAATAATAGAAAACAAATAAATGGTGTCTGCAAAAGTTTGGGCACCCTTCAGAGTTAATATCTTGTACTGCCCCCTTTGGCAAGTATCACAGCTTGTAAACGCTTTTTGTAGCCAGCCAAGAGTCTTTCAATTCTTGTTTGAGGTATCTTTGCCCATTCTTCCTTACAAAAGTCTTCCAGTTCTTTGAGATTTCTGGGCTGTCTGTCACGCACTGCTTTTTTAAGGTCTATCCATAGATTTTCAATTATGTTGAGGTCAGGAGATTGTGAAGGCCATGGCAAAACCTTCAGTTTACGCCTCTTGATGTAATCCCCCGTGGATTTCGAGATGTGTTTAGGATCATTATCCATTTGTAGAAGCCATCCTCTCTTTAACTTCAGCTTTTTCACAGATGGCATCAAGTTACCAAAATTTGCTGAAATTTTATTGAATCCATTTTTCCTTCTACTCGTGAGATGTTCCCTGTGCCACTGGCTGCAACACAACCCCAAAGCATGATGGATCCAACCCCATGCTTAACAGTTGGACAGAGGTTCTTTTCATTAAATTCTGTGCCCCTTCTTCTCCAAACGTACCTTTGCTCATTCCGGCCAAAAAGTTCCATTTTAACCTCATCGGTCCACAGAACTTGTTTCCAAAATGCATCAGGCTTGTCTATATGTTCATTTGCAAAGTTCAAACGATGATTTTTGTGGTGAGGACGTAGAAGAGGTTTTCTTCTGATGACTCTTCCATGAAGACCATATTTGTACAAGTATCTCTTTATAGTGGAATAGTGTACCACAACTCCAGTGTCTGCCAGATCTTTCTGGAGGGATTGTGCAGTCAAACGTGGGTTTTGAATTGTTTCTCTCACAATCCTGCGAGCTGTTCTGTCTGATATTTTTCTTGGTCTTCCAGATCTTGCTTTAACTTCCACTGTTCCTGATGACTGCCATTTCTTAATTACATTCCGAACAGAGGATATTGACATCTGAAAACGCTTTGCTATCTTCTCATAGCCTTCTCCAGCTTTGTGAGCATCAACTATTTTCAGGTTCAGTTTTCTAGACAACTGCTTAGAAGAACCCATGGTGCTGATTGTTGGGGCAAGGTCAGATGAGTCTGGGCATTTAAAACCTTTGAGCTTGACATCACCTGGTCTTCCCAGACGATGACTGAGAACAATCCATGACACTGGCAGGTCTCAGCTTTGCAAAGGGGGCAGTGCATGCTATAAATTCTGCAGGGTGCCCAAACGTTTGCAGATGCCATTTTTTTGTTTTCTGTTATTTTGAAAGTGTAAATGATGGAAATAAAATCTAACTTTTGTTGACATATTATAAGAATGTCTAATATGTAATTTGATGCCTTTTGGAGATTTTACCATCTTTCCTTGGCTTCTTTATGCACATTAATACAAATTCTTAGCTGGGGTGCCCAAACTTTCGATCCCCACTGTAGTCACTTATTGAAGGAGTAATTTTACCCTGACCTGCATTTACTTCCCATACCCAGTTAGCACCAAAGAAATTAGAAAAAGGAAACGTTTTTGAATATGAATAGATAACCTAGAGCAAAACTAGCTTAGAATAGAGTCAGGAAGGATATAAACCCTGTGAGTGTTTTTTTTTTTTTGTGCTCTCCACCATTGAGGTCACTCTCTCTATTTGCTCTGTTGACCGCTCTCACCAGGACTGAAATCCACAATCTGAGGTGTGCGGAAATCATACAGTGGGTACACTTGATAACTGAACAGTATAGTTTACTGTATAAATCACCTTGTTAACAAACCACCCCAAAAAATAGGCTTTTTTTTTTTACCTGAATTTTATTATTCACAAAACAATATGCTATTTCAGTTAACATCATGGTGTGTGGATGGGCGTGAGCCAGCATTATCAGCCCTCTCACCCACAAACATCCAGCTGTGAGTGAACCAGATATTTTTGCAAGACACTTGAAAAACCATGAAATGTGATTTTTTTTTTTTTAAACAAATATACCATCTTATCTATGGCATTTGGAAAAGATTTGACTTCAGCAGAGTATATTCTGATTGATTGTTAGGGCCTTCTACAATTCAGAATGAACATGTAACATGAAGAACTCTTTGATGAACTCTTCATTGAGTAAGACTAAAACTTTTTTGTCAAGATGTTTTTTTCTCAGTTATGATTTTGTGAATTTTTTATTGATATAGATCTCATTTCATTTTGTAACTTTAACTATGTTGCTCTAATAATAAAATAAGAAGTCATTTGTTGAAGGCACAATTTTACACTGACCTGCATTAACTTCATGTACTCAGGGCCAGAAAATGTAGAATTTTTCTCATTTCTGATTTTGGGACAATTTTGTGATGTAAACACAGTGCTGTGAAAAAGTATTTCTTCCCTTCCTGATCTTTTTATTTTTGTTTGCAAATTTGACAAACTTAAATGATTCAGAATATCAAACTAATTTTAATATTACACAAAGATAACCCAGGTAAATCCAAAATGCAGTTTTTAAATGATGATTGACCTGTATCAGTCTGGAAAAGGTTACAAAGCCATTTCTAAGGTTTTGGGACTCCAGCAAACCATGGTGAATCCACAAATGGAGAAAACTTGGAACAGTGGTGATCCATAACAGGAGTGGCTATCCTACCAAAATTACTCCAAGAGAACAACAACGCCTCATCCAGGGGGTTATAAAAGAACCCAGAACAGCATCTAAAGAACTGTGGGCCTCATTTGCTTCAGTTAAACTAAGTTGTCATGATTCAACAATATGAAAGAGACTGGCACTGCTGGCCAAAAAGAACACAAAGGCTTGTCTCATATTTGCCAAAAAAACATTTTGATTATCCCCAAGACGTTTGGGCAAATGTTCTGTGGGCTGATGAGATGATGAGTTGAACATTTGGAAGATGTGTGTCCCGTTACATCTGCTGTGAAAATAATGGAGCATTTCATAAAAAGAACATCATATCAACAGTCAAACATGGTGGTGGTAATGTGATGGTCTGGGGCTGCCTTGCAGCTTCAGGACCTGGACAACTTGCCAAAATTGATGGAACCATGAATTCTGTGCTCTACCAAAAAATTCTGAAGGAGAATTTCCAGCCATCTGTTTGTGACCTCAAGCTCAAGCATGCTTGGGTTGTGCAGCAGGGGCTTTGGGGGGTATTTATTTTGCATATAGGGCCTGGCAGAACTGGACAGTTTTTTTCCTTTTGTAAATGAACCCTTTGTAACCCTTTCCAGACTGATATATGTCATTACATTATTTCTCATCTGTTCTTGAGATCTTTTACCGTGCTTCACTTTTTTCAGACAGCTTTTATTTAAATGATTTAAGTAATCAGGCCTGGGTGAGGAAAGTGAAAATCAGCTCAGCTTATTAAAAATGTGGTTAGTCACAGTTCATGCATGATTTAGCAAGGGGGGGGGATACTTTTTCACAAAGGGCAAGGCAGGTTTGGACAGCTTTTTTCCCTTATTAAATTAAATTATCATTTAAAAACTGCATTTTGCATTTATTGGGTTATCTTTGTGTAATATTGAAATTTATTTGATGATCCTACTCATTTAATTGTGGCAAATATGCAAAACAAGAAAAAATCAAGAAGCAAATATCTTTTCACATCACTGTAGATTCCATTTAATTTTAGAACTTTAACTATGATACTCTTCTTTATTGAAGGCATCATTTCACCCTGGCCTGCAATAATTTCATGTACCCAGTTAGGATAAGAAAATGTAGAATCAAAAATGTATTTGAATGTGAATATATCATCTAGAGCCAAACTAGCTCTGGATAGCATCAGGAAGGGTATTAGCTCTGTGAGATTGTATTGCTCCTTTACCA